CATACTGTATATATATATATATATATATACATCTGTGTCAGTGTAAACTATTTGTACCTGATGCTGACAAAACCTTGTCGAAACGTTGTACATTTTCTGTTATGTAAACTTAGATTAAAGTTTTTCTTCATTACCCATTCAAGCTGTCTCCAAGCATCATTATCAACAGTAAACATACCAAACATTGTGAGCCTAAGTTTAATAAAGCATATCAACATATCCAGCATGGTGAGTCTAGGTTTAACAAGGCATGTAAACATATCAAAGACATGGTGAGCCTAACTTCAGCAAAGCATGTAAACATATAAAACATGGTGAATCTAGGTTTAACTAGGCATGTAAACATATCACAGACATGGTGAGTTTAAGTTTGTGGACTTTGTGTCGTAAATAATAATCAGGTGAAGTTAAAACAACATTTTCATTCTTCATGCTGAGAGCTTACAGGGAAATTAATGAATGTCTTACTCTCACTTACCTTTTTAAACGTTTCTAAGCCCATACTTATCACAGACTTTTTCAAGTTTTCGTATAAACCAAACATTGGCAAAAAATCAACGTCTGTCAGGAACACAAAAGGTGTGGTAACTTGTTGTAAGGCTACATTCCTCAGAAGATTTATGGGGTAAAATGGCTGAAAAAAAAAAAGCCGTGCTAATGTTTCTGTATCCATACATTATTTCTTCTAATTCCCTGTGGAAGGGTAATATCTGGAAATAAAGCTGAGAACTCAACCTAGGAAACTATACATATCACAATAAAAAAACACGTCAATATTTCAATGTCGAAAATGTATATATGCTAAAAGGTACACAATAGGCTGTCTGTTCTCTGTTCACTATAGGGAATCTAACCCTGAATTTTATCGTTATAAGTCCTTAAACTTACCGCTGATCCAGTAGGTGAGTCCATTCTCGCTACTACAGAAATACTGATTATTTAACAACAAAAATTTGACTTCAGATCTTTACTATTTGTGTTACTGCTGGCAGAGACTATTTCGAAAAAATTTAAAGTTCTTGTAGCAGTAATGAGAATTGCTATCGAAGCGTCACAAACATAATAAACAGTTTTAATCGAAACGTTGGCACAATAACATATTATACCACATGTAAATTTTCAACTTTAATTGAAGCAGTTAGAATTAATACAAACGTTATTTTGATGTTAGTGAGCAAAACTGTGAATATTTACATCAAAAAGTTTCCCACTTAGTTTTGTAATAGCAATATATTATTGTACATCAATAATGGAGTTAAACACGTTAGTAATCATAACTAGACAAGTAGTCATCACAGTACCACTAACACCAGTAGTAACCACAGTGCCATTGACATTACTAGTCAACATAGTTCCACTGACAGTTCTAGCAATCACAGTACAACTGACACTATTAATCATCACAATACTACTGAAACTACTATGCATTACAATGCTACTGACACTATTAACTAACAAAGTACCACTGATACTACTAGTCATCACAGTACCACTAACACCAGTAGTAACCACAGTACAATTGACACTATTAATCATCACAATACTACTGAAACTACTATGCATTACAATGCTACTGACACTATTAACTAACATAGTACCACTGATACTACTAGCCATCACAGTACCACTAACAATACTAGCCATCACAATACCACTAACAATATTAGCCATCACAGTACCACAGATCCCAGGAATCGTTACATTGCCACTGACATCAGGAGTCATCAAAATATTTAGTGACACCAGCAATCACAGCAATATCTACTGACAACAATAGTCGTCACATAACCACTGACACCAGGAATCACCACGGTATCACTGACATCAGTAACCATCATGCTATCACTGACATCAATAATCACCATGGTACCATTGACTTCAGTAACCATAAAGCTATCACTGACGCCAGTAATGATCACAATATCTACGTTACTTCAGTATTCTTCACAATGTGGCTGTAATAACTCAGCTATCCCACTGAACGATCCAGATAAATAATAAATTAGTAGCATTAATTAGACTTATTTTTCAAATACTTGTATAAGTATAGGTTCACGGTGGTGAGTGAAGGACAACTCACTGTCAGGGGAAGGAAGAGGCTTTCATTTATAAAATCATTAATTATAAACCAATGTTATGTAACCTTTGCAAAAAAAATACCATTTTCTGCTAAGGTTTATATGTTGTCATGCCAAACATGAACTTAACATATTTTTTGAGACCAAAAGGCATTAAATCTGTATTTTGGATTCTATTATAAATAAAGTAGGTCAAATAACTTTGTTTTATTCATTCCAAGCATTACGAAATACCTTGTACTTTGCCCTGAGTTTCCAGTGCAGTCACAAAGTTACCGTCCCCACCCCAACCATCTGCCACACCCATAGCCCCTACCTACCCATTTTCAATAACAGACATGCCATACATTTGTCATAGTGAATGATGGGTGTTTCGTAGAGCTCGATGTAACGTTATCTATCATGTCACACCAAGCCCTAATCGATCAGTGGCTCTCGTCAAGACATTTCTAAAAAAGCGGAATATAAGCCAACTATGTAAAATGTTCTTGGTATATTGCTTATTTTACACAATTAGTACATGGTTGACCTCATCTATCATTAACATAGTGTAACAGTTCTTTTGGAGGGCAACAAATAAGATTATGGATGTGAAAATAAGGTAATACACACCCATACATTTAAAGCTGAAGATGTCAAAGATGTTTGTTTAAATAACGAATTCACACTAATGTTGCACTAGCTTCAATATTACTTTTATGTTCAACATATTGACCTAATGAATGATTTCTCCCAAGGTGGCACAAGAGGTGTTTATATCATATGGCGTATATTGATTTTAATGGCGTGACACTTTTATTTTGTATGGAAGACAAAAAAGCTCTGGCCAAGCAGGCACAAACTAATTAAACACTGGCATCAGTCCCAAGCACTTTTAACTGCAAACGTTGAGTAGAAAGCTGGTTAACGCAATGTCTAGCACTGAAATGCCTTGTTGAAATTATCATATGGGGGTGTAACAAGTCAGTATGGAAACTGAACAGACTGTTAACAGACATACGTGATCAAGTGGGCGTGTCTGTAGTTCAGAAAAAAAAAATCCACAAACAATGATTATGTAGAGAGAGGGGACGAGAATGATCTAAATGATTAGGAAAAGTTAATATGTTTATACTACTTCTTGGTATAAAAACTTCAAGAGTGTAGGCACCATTGGTATAATTGTTATGTCTTTATCAGTTTCTATTTTAAAATCAATGACTTTTTATTTAACTTTTAAGCATACGCTATAATGAAATAATTTCATATCAATAAAAGGTAAATCAATTCCAACTCACCGAATTCGTCATTGACACAAGTAGTCATAACAGTTCTAGTTATACCAGTAATCATCACAATATTCACTGACACAAAAAGTGATAACAGTACCACTGATACCAGTAATCATCACACTATTCAATGACACAAGTAGTCATAACAGTTCTAGTGATACCGGTAATCATCACAATATCCACTGATACACAAAGTCATAGCAGTACCACTTATACCAGTAATCATCACAGTATTCAGTGACATAAAAAGTCATAACAGTACCACTGATACCACTAATCATCAGAATATTCACTGACACAAGAAGTCATAGCAGTACCACTTATACCAGTAATCATCACGATATTCAATGACACAAGTAGTCATAGCAGTACCACTGTTACCAGTAATCATCACAATATTCACGGACACAAAAAATCATAACAGTATCACTGATACCAGTAAGCATCAAAATATTCGGTGACACAAGGAAACATAACAGTGTCACTTATAGAAGTAATCATCAGAATGTTCACTGACACAAGTAGTCATAGCAGTACCACTTATACCAGTAATCATCACAATATTCACTGACACACAAAGTCATAGCAGTACCACTTATACCAGTAAGCATCAAAATATTCAGTGACATAAAAAGTCATAACAGTACCACTGATACCACTAATCATCACAATATTCACTGACACACAAAGTCATAGCAGTACCACTTATACCAGTAATCATCACAATATTCACTGACACAAGTAGTCATAACAGTATCATTGATGCCAGTAATCATCAGAATGTTCAATGACACAAGTAGTCATAGAAGTACCACTGATACCAGTAATCAGCATAATCATTATTGACACAAGAAGTCATAGCAGTACCACTGATACCAGGAATCATCACACTATTCACTGACACAAGAAGTCATAACAGTACCACTTATACCAGTAATCATCACAATATTCCCTGATACAAGAAGTCATAACAGTACCACTGGTACCAGTAATCATCATAATCATTATTAACACAAGAAGTCATAGCAGTATCACTGATACCAGTAATCATCACAATATTTACTGACACAAGTAGTCATAACAGTATCACTTATACCAGTAATCATCACACTATTCACTGACTCAAGTAGTCATACCAGTATCATTGATGCCAGTAATCATCACATTGTTCACTGACACATTTGCTAACATAAATTGTTTTTGGCAATTCACTGTTGCTAACATATATGATCTGTAGAATAAAATGACTGAAGATCACAACTTTTGTAACTGAAGCTTGGAAATTCAAATTTTAGATATAAACTTCACGATGAACATTTAAGTTTATTTTTATTTATAGGTTACTACTGATCAATAATACCTTGATTAGAGGTCAAGTTTTGCGTCATTCAGTTAGACATCAGTTTCTGCAGACATAACACATCGACTTGCATTACACCTGTCTTTTGTAACCTGCATGACTGTTCTTCCCAGACTATCCTGAGCTCAGAACACCAACAGAAAACATACTATTAAAAATCCTCCTCATCTAGGCTTATCATAACTGGAATTGACTGGTCTATTGTTGGTCTCACCAAGAGTGGTCATCAGTTCGATGTTTCATCCTCAGTCTCATCAAGAATAACATCTTTCTCCAGTGATACTGATTGACATGATACACTTGACCTGTGGCCAGAAAGTACCTGCTACTTTACGGGAGAGTAATTCATTAAAAAAAAACGGTTTCTCCTGATGGATCTGGGTTCATTTTTCTTCGATCTGTCCACCATGTTCATCGGCAAAGTAAAAATATACCGAACCTTACTCACTCGCAATAACAGATTAAATACTGTTCATGACACTTGGACATCTTGATAGTCTGCTCTGTAATATCTTAGGGGAATGATAGCACATGGGTTAACAAAAAGGTTCGCCAGAATCTAGTCGGCAGATGAGTGAATGAACATAAGTAAAGGTGAAAATGTGAGATCAAGTGAAGAAAATACAGGTGGAATAAGCACTAAGGCGCCATGATTCAAAGTTAAAATACACAGTAATTTATTAGTAGCCTATATTATCATCTTAAGCTAGTTATTAATTAGTTACTATTTTATTAGGCATTAGTTATTTTACATCCTAAATTTTGGCTGTTATTTATTGCCATCTACAAGAAGCACTGAAAAGAACTGTCTGTGGTGGTGAGTCTCGAAATTTGATTTTGGGTCTTCTTGTTAAAAAATCTTGTGTGCTTTCGACTAATCTAAGGTCTCTCCCATTGGGACTTGGATTTACTAACTATTTGAACGATTGCAAGAGGGTTATCCAGGTTGTGCTGACTTCTGTAAAAAATGATTGAATGTATCATCTGTTTGGGGGATATGGAAGGCTTATTTTCTATTTATTTTTCTCGTGAGTATTCCATATCCCGTTATTTTAAAATTATTCCAATTTATTATATGTCTTCTTCTCTAACATGATGTTTAATGGCAGATATATCGGTTTTAAAGAGTCTTAAATTTGTTGGAATCCACATTCCCAGGGTATAGTGTAAATGGTGTTTTCCATTGGGTTTCTGTGATTTGGTGTGTGTTAACTGCGGTCCTGACCTTATGCTAATTACATACCGTAGTATATTTTTATTTTTAGAGATATTTCACGTAGGGGAATATGGCTGTGTGTGTACTTTTGTCCTTGCTTATTCTTGATGCTAAACTTGACGAACCCGAACACAACACTAACAAAACATAATACATAAAACTAGTTAATGATGATTCTATATTTCCATGGGAATGTTCGACCAAAAGAAAGATCAACTTCAGAGTTGCGAAAACTAAACAGACCAATTCGTACATAGCGTCAGTCTAAAATTAACAACAACCAGACAGGCGTAATATCCAAAAATACTGGTTACTGGAGGTCAGTGATAGATTTATACAGATAACTAAAGATACAAATACTTACCAAAACAGATAATCACCATGCCACTATTAACACCAGTAATCTTCACAATATTCAGTGAAACATGTTCATCACAGTACCATTGATACCAGTAACGACCATGATATTCATTGATACAAATATTCACAACAGTATCACTGATACCAGTAACCGCCACAGTACCACTAGTACTATTGATAATCAAAATTTCAATAACCTCAGGGACAAATGCTCAAGTCATACTTTACGAAATCCTTGAGTCTGTTTAATACAAGTCTGTAGCTCTGTGTGGTTAATTTATTACCTTAAACGTGTAAGAAATTGGTTTTGAAAAGAAAGACTGAATACAGAAATATCAGTCACAGAAATAACATTTTGTGAAATATAAGCAAGCTATTCCCACTCAAGGTTATTTCCTTTTTTATCATTATATTATTAAAGAGCTGTGAATTCTACTTAACTAAACGTCAGTGTAACTAGACATACTATTGGCTCTTTATGACGTCAGAATAATTGCTGCAAAATAGAAAAAAACACATTAGTAATGGATTCACGTAGGATCTAATATTAATACTTCAAACGCTTAATAAATATAAATATCTTTATTTACTTGGCTTAATTACAAGTCTCAATCACTACTTGTAAGGTGTTTTTATATGATCAAACTGAGGTTTAATAATACTTTGTATGAACGATTTGTATACGTAAACACTTTGGCGTGACGTCACAGGCTACATGTTTAGCACCTGTATGTTTGGTTCACGGGGAATTCCCGACAACTGACATGAAATACGTCCACTGATAAAGTTATGTCTGGAGGATATTTGTTATAGTTTATTCCGAGAAAATATATTCTAATAACGAGATTTTTAATACTGTAGAGCCAAAGGACACGACATGTTACGAAGAAGGAAGTACTCAGTATATTCCAGGGAAACAGACACACTTGCACGGCAGATAATATAGGGAAGTAGTGGGTTCCTAAACTATCCCTCACTTGATAATATAGGGAAGCAGTGGGTTCCTAAACTATTCCTCACTTGATAATATAGGGAAGCAGTGGGTTCCTAAACTATTCCTCACTTGATAATATAGGGAAGCAGTGGGTTCCTAAACTATTCCTCACTTGATAATATAGGGAAGCAGTGGGTTCCTAAACTATCCCTCACTTCATTCCAGAGCAATATCTCATCTTCAAAGTGAAGACTATGGTTGTAAAAGAGAATCCACCTGTCCAAAACGCCACTGAGATCAACTTGGGCACGCCACCTTTACTATTAACATGTTAATAAAACAGAGTTTGGAGATGACGAAAATTCAAAAACTAAAACTTCACAAGTTTTAAGGCCACGACTCGAAATCGGTGACTGTTTTGATGAGAATGATGGTAGAAAAAACTGGAATCACTGCAATCATATCTGCTACGTACCTTTCAAGTCCTCCATCAGACTGAGCACAAAAGACGATGAAAGAAATAGTTCCAAAAGGCACCACAGGACTTAGAGCATCGTTTTGATAATCTCAGTATAAATAATTTATGTTAAACAATAATTATTTGAGACATTAAAATAATAACTAAGAAATACGAATTTGTTATTGTTTATTGTTACTAGGCTTTCGGACCACCCTGTTATTGTAGCGTTTTCGCTTTTAATTTAGATATGTTTCACTGGTATTTTAGGCTGTATAGTCATATATAGTAGAGTTTTGGCTTTAAAGGACTAATAGAAACAAGCAGGAGCAGTCCAATAAAACCAAAACTCAACTCTTTGAGAAGAATAGTTTTTCTTATACAATTGTAATGTTTGGAAATGACATCGATCCATTTCCCTCTCTACCAATTCAGTTGACAGATATCTATTTCTAATGAGCTGAAATAGTATCAAAATAATTAAAGAAAATACCTTGTTACGTAAAACTTAAAACGTATTTATTGTCGGATGCACAAAGTATAATGTAGTTGTTGTACCTGATGATGCCAGGCTAACGTAGTCAAACGTTGTATCCATAAATATCATACTCTATGTATCTGAAAATAAACAACTTTCGTGAAGTATTATCACCTAGATAGCATTCCCTGTCACAGATAGCCCACTGTTTAACTGTGTGCTTAATTACAAACATTATCAATATCACTACATCTGTGTCTTGTGCTGCTATCTAGTGAGCAAATGTATAACTTCAAAGTTTAGATGAAAGGACGCTAGAACTTAAATATAATATTGTATGGTACAATAATAGAAAGTTCAGTTAGTGTTGAAATTACCTAAGCTTTCAGTTCCATATTCTTTAGAAAGACAAATACAAATGGAGATTCAAAACTCTAGAAATATTGGTTTTAAAAGTAAAAATATTTATTCATTTTTAACAGTATAGTTTAATAAAAGCACAAAATTAGTTTGAATATAGATGAAAATCAATCAGTAATTAATATTGGAAAACTTCAAAAAATAACGATGTTAGTAACACAAATGTCTACTCACTCCATCTCTATATACAATGTGGTAACCAACGTTTTTCCTAACTCGTAGAATCTCCGAACTTAGTGTGTAGCCAAGAAACTGCTGGACTTCAGAGTCAGACATGTACAAAGCCAGACTGATAGGACCTAGAAGCAAAAGTACGAACTTAGGTAAGTTTCAACTTCAAACCAACAATAAACAAATTCCAACTCACAAAAACAGTAGACATATTCATCCAAGCATCGACAATCGACAAATTCAATTGCACACCAACAACAGACAATTTAAGCCAAACACCGACAATAGACTAATTCAATCACACAACAATAATAGGCAAATTCAACCACATACCATTAACAGAAAAATCTAACCTCATACCAACAATAAACAAATATAATCTACTGGAATTTTCTAGTTGTTCACTCTTTAAAGGTAAACGTCCATTTTTTATCATCTCTTTGGTAAAAGTAACTCATTATTTGACTGAGTTTACAATAACTTAAAAGCATTGGCAAAAAGCAAATAAAAAATGTGCTTCTTCAGGTAGTCACTTAGAGAATGGTCAATATATAAATATTACCACTGAGTTTCAATTTTAACAAATATTTGATTGAAAATTGAGTTATATTTGTATGTTTTTCGAAATTCGCGCAAAATTACTTGAAGACTATCTCCGCTAGCCGTCTCTAATTGCGAGGAGATATATAGAGGGAAGGCAGTTATTCAAAACCACCCACCGCCATATCTCGGATTACTCTTTACCAATGAATAGTGGGATTGACTTTCACATTATAACGCCCCACGGCTGAAAATTATTTGTTTATTTGAAAGCAAAGCCACATTAGGGGCTATCCGCTGTGTTCACCAAGGGAACCGAAATTGAACTTTAGCGTTGTAAGACTTACCACTATCCCACTGGGGGACATGGCTGAAAAGGCGAACGTGTTTGGTGACGGGAGCTGATCCCGCAATTTGCAGATTGCGAATCAAGTGCACTAACCATCAGACCATGCCAGACTCTGTCACTAGTTATACTGAATATCAACAAATATGTGATTAAAAAGACATTATTAAATCACTATTTATATTAAGCCTTAACAAACATGTGATTAAAAAGAGGGTATTAAATCACTGTTCATATTTAACTTGAACAAACATGTGATTAAAAAGAGGGTATTAAATCACTGTTCATATTTAACTTGAACAAAGATGTGATTAAAATGAGGTCACGAGTCACTATTCGTGTTCAAACCTTTCAAATAGCTGATTAAAAGGGAATTTAACGCGAGTACCTAGACAAAAAAGAAAGAAAGACTAATTAAACAAGAAAATACATGTTCGTCAGATGCCATATCTAATTCGTTCGGTGATGGAACTCTGATCAAAATCTAATTACTTGAACAGTTCTCGGATGATCTATATAAGACTGAATTAAAGCCTATAAACTAATAACCTTACAGAGTTCGCTCAAAGAAACGTTCTAGGAACGGCAGAGCATTTACATCTAATTAAATCGTAAATGACTGGTTGACTTCTGTGTATTCCCGAGACGTTTTATGTTTGATATCCTTCTTTTAAAATGTTTTATAGTTGATGTTTTAACATATTGTAGTAACATCTTACAACAAACACACACACGCGTACATACACAAATTTATGTTTATATATACACGTATATATATATATATATATATATATATTATTGTACAATAAAAAACAAACGTATTATATAGTATAGTAATCACAGTAGTAATACTATTAATAAAATATCCAGACTTTACAAGAGCATTTTTTTACTGACGTTTATTTATATCAGAATATCTTTTACTTCTTATTATTTGGGAAATTCCTTTACAATTTCAACAAAATAAGACTTGTTATTGTTGTTAATTTTATGCTAATAAAAATACTTTTAACAGCTCTATTTTTCTAATTCGGGAAAAAAATATTCAGTTTTTAGTCTTTCTTAAATGCTTTAGAATTCCAGCTTATTAACTGCTAAAAAATTCATAATCCGATCTTAACTTAAAAATTAAAGCAGTTAAAAATAGTAGTTTTTTAAACCTGAAAGATACGATAAATAGCGAATTGAACTCCCCGTAAAACAGTAGATATAACATTTTCCACTAAAGCAACCCATCCTGCAGTTTATTGAGTTTTGGTTAATACTAAAATGTTAAACAATTCAGCATCTAGTCTGTTAAGGTTTTGAAGGAGTTTGGTTTCTCTTCATCCTTACCTTCCCAGTGTTTACACAACGCTTCCACCATTTGTAACCGGTCCATAGATAATTGTGCAACTAAAGTGACGTCATTTCCATCTGAAGACTGTAATAGGTTATTCAAGGCGAAGATTAAAGTCTGATTTGTTATTATTTCGGTCACAATCGCAATTTTACACAATGAAATTTAACAACACATATAAACTAATAAACTGTTGAACTACAGACATGATCTGAGCTACACGAAAAATAATAATCACTAATCATGATGTATGGAACTCAAAATTCAATCTCACATGGCCGTACACTTATTTAGCGTTGCTTTTTAAATAAGCAGAAAAGATATCGGTCAGTGTATCAGTACTAAACTATCGAGCTAATCTAAAAAGATTAACTACTTTTCTATAATGTTTTATAAGCTGTTCTATACTTTTGGAGGTGTGTATATCTGTTTATTGCAGATATACATACATCCATGTCTATATATCTATGTCTGTTTCTAATTTAATTATATTAGTCAAGTCTGATATAACGTTATCTGTTAATTTTTTTGACAATGAAAGACGCAAAAAACTCGTTAAGCCTTTCAAATATTCCGCTAATCTGATTGAAGACAGCTCATGTGTAGTCTGTATTAATTAAACCATTCAACTAGAAGCTCGAGATTAAAATAAGTTGGTAAAAAATTACATAGTAACGTTAACTATTACAAAAAATTCACCGATACCGATATAGCTGGAGTTAACAGAAGACCTTAAAAAATTATTTAAATATACGCTATTAAGTACTATTCCCCCTATCTGAAACATATTTTCACTTATTATTCCTTATATATATAATATACTTTTATAGTGAAGTTCATACAAAAAAAAAAAAGAAAAGCTCACAGGTTCATAGTCATATTCTATATAATAGAGATGGGTTCTATGCTGGACTACCCTTGCTCTTCTGAATTCATAACATGGGTCATCTTCATCTATAGAGTTCAACTGGAAAAAGCAAGAAGTAATTGACTTTTAGACATATCAAATAAAACATTTACTGCATGTATATATATGATGATTATTGTATAAAATAATATAATTCACTTAACATGTATGTTAAAGAAGACGATAGAATCCAAATGGAAAATTCAATGACAAACTTGTTCACAATGCATCAATATGCGAAACGTATGTTTGGTGACATGGGTTCTAGTACAGTGCAGTTACTGAGTTATATTCATACATATTTTATTGAGAAGTTTCCTCTGTATAGTGTTAGAACAAAGAAATGTTTTTTTTCAATTTATAAGAAGACGTGTATAGTATATCTTAGGACACTAATCAATAACAGCGTAAACTATAATATTGAGCGTGAATGTTCTGTTGTGATAGAATTAAACACAATCACATTCATTAAAAATCAACTTACAATCATTAACACATGACAAACTACATCTTTTACGTGTATTGTGCTTACCTTGTTACGACAGTCATCAATATATGTATGACAAATCACATGTTCCACGCGTATTATCTTTATCTTATAATCCCCAGTCAACGATACTTAACAAACTTTATATTCTGCATGTATTCTTTTAATATTGTTATTACAGTCAACAAGATATGGCAAACCTAATCTTCATCGTGTATTGTCTTCTCTTATTTTAATTATCACAGTCAATAATATATGATAAATCACATCTTGTGCATATATTATTTGGAGCATATTACAAACATTATCTTCTATGTATACTATGTTGATCTTATTACCACAGTCAACAATATATAACAAACCATATATCCTGCGTGTACTTTCTTCACATTATTATAAATACAACAAAATATATGACAAATCACGTCTTCAGCGATTATCATCATGATTTTATTACCACAGTCAACAATACATGACAAACCTCATCTTCAGCATGTATTATCTTAACTTTGTTTTCAGAGTCAAAATTACATTATTTACAAAGATCTCCATGGAGTTTCTTTCGACCTTGCTAAGATATTCGACAAAATGTGAGTTACCAATCTTTCAGACAACTTCAACTTTTGTTTCATCCAACTAATGCTTGAGTTACCACATGACTGGTCCTACTTTTGTTACAACTGTTCAACGTCTGACTTCCTACATCTTTTTCTTTTGGTATTTTTGTTATATTTACTTAACACGTGTCTGTCCACATTTTCTACATAACTACTCTTAATTGTGTTACTTATTAAATGCCTGACTTACCACATCTTCCACATGATTGGCCCTACTTTTGTTACACCCAATCAACTCCTGACGCAACAGGTTTCCATCATATTCGAGGAAGGTCAGGTAAAGATTGCGGAAAAATTCCACGTGTTTGTTTTTCACTTTAAGTTTTTTGGGAGAGTTCCAATGTATAACCTGTCACAGACGAAGGAAACAAAATTTCTGCTAAACGTCTCGCTACTCCATACTTTTTGACAATAATAAGTAAAACATTCAAATTAAATGATAATTAGTCAATTATTAATTTTTTGTCGTAAACTAGATAAATTCCACTTTTTATTCTTATTGTTTCAAGAAAAACTATTAATTGGTTATACTATAGTTTTTTATGAGTATTTTGTCCAATGCCAATGAAAGAAATAAGGAAATTTACAGGCTATTATTTTAAAGTTAATATTTTACTTTTAGTGTTTAAAATTGCTCTGTTATTTTGCCATCCTTCTCATCTGTTACATTTAAACTATACGTCCACAGGTAACAAAATACTTTTCAGATACTGGAATAGAAACTATTAAAACTGATGCTATCTCATATATAAATAAACATTTAAATGAAAGGATTGTTAGTCAATTTCAAATGTGTTCTTCTGTTGCTTCAAGAAGATCTATTAATTTTTTATACAGCAGTTTTCTATAAGTTTTCAGTCTTTCGGAGGTCATTAAAAGCTACAATTTCTAAGTAAGTGCTAACTGTCTTTATCAGAAAATTTTCATCTACAACAGTGTTTAACTAAAGCAAAAAGACAGAGTTAAATATGAGAAAAGTGGGAGTGGCTTATGAATTTCTTTGCGGGAGTGACTTGCCTTATATACAGATCAAAACTTTCGAACGGTCGATATTGTATTGACTAAATGTTCGCATTTGAAAATCTACAGTAGTCATTCTTCCCTAAAAGGTTCAATAATTGGCAAAGCTTAACAATTTTTAATCTGTATGATCTGAACAAATCTTTAAAGAAGTTGTAGATATTTCAAATAAACACACAATCATTACTTTTCTTTAATAATAATTCTGAATTACCCGTCAACTAGTGTTGAATTAGTTTTACATATTCCCATCTGGTCAGTATATTTCATCTAGTCATTTTGTGATCAATTACAGCGCCATCTACTGTTTATTTATTGGTTTAAATAGTTGAACATTGTCTATGAAGACAAACGGCCTCTAAAAGCTAGGCATTCAGTTTTTACTATGTATATTTTCTACGTACACTGAAGTTGACAAAGTTTCATCAAATATATAAATAGACTATGACTGGTCGATCTCAAATACAAGCAATGTTTAAAATACAGGGTGAAGAAAAAGTCACATACAACCATGACAATTTTATGTTCCTTTCTTATTTTATTTCATTTTAGTCATGATTGTATTTAATTAATATTTTTTTCACTACAATAATAGACTTGGACGTGTACCACTTTATGATAATATTCACTGCAGTACCTAGTCAATGTGAATCATTTTATGATAATGTCTACTGCAGTACCTAGTCAGCGTAAACCATTGCTATAACAACGCGTGGAAGTGACTTTATTGTGACAATGTGTTGTGATATCAACGGTGCACTTTTCAAACATCTGTAAAGGGTAGTACTTAAAAATATCATAGTAGTGCACGACTTTTACTGTATATTATGAATCAACGTGCTGTTTATGTTATGATGGTCTATTTAAGAATATAAGTTCCAGATAAGAACAGAGCAATACATTGTTCTAACTATCATGGCGTTGGTAGATTCTATATGTAGGGATGACTCATGGCCAAGGTACTCAATAAGCATAATATAAATATGCAGGATAAAAAAATCAACAATGACAGAGAGTTTTTACCTTAAAAGACAATTGTCACTTACTTTCATTTGTTTCTCTACCCAACAAGCCCCAAAACAAGGCAAGAAACCATTGCTAAGATACCAAACCAGAAAGTGACCAACCCACCAAAATGTTCATCTTTCTTCTTCTTGTTTTAGTCGAGATAACTCTACAACTACTTTATCATTAACGTCAGTTTAATATTAAATCCACTCTATGTGTTTCTTAGCAGTCGTAGTAACTAGTATTAATTTAAAAAATAATAATTCTAGAGTAAGCAATATCATCATTACCTCTTGAAGTTAGCTTTCTTACAAAAAGTTGGTGTTCCCTTATAATAGCCTAAGTACAGGGTAAAACAGGAATTACCAGCCAATAATAGATGAACAATATATGACTGTAACGTGTAGAATACTGAATGCTTTGTACACTATATAATCGGTGTCTTTAGGGATCCAACCCATAGATTATGTATGAAGTAAAGGAGTAAAAAAAAATCAATACATATAGCATTAAATTTTATTACACACATTCATACAATACACTAAATTTCCGTTAGGGGGGAAAACGTAACAAAACATGTAATAAAAACATTTTATAAATATAAAATGATGTAGAGATGGCAGTGCCAAAAAGAATGCAAACAAGGATATAGGGATGATACAACTATACGTAGATCATCCCTACATGATTTTAAATATTAAAATATAATGTTACACTGTAAAATGAATACTTGACTTTAATATTACTGCAGTTGGAATTTATATATTCTTGACTCTTTTTATGCAGTTTGTTTATCATAATATCATGATCGTGTCAGGTTAGGCATCAATGTAGAGTAACTAAGAGCCTAGGAATTATGTGCAAGAAAAACCATGTTGAATCAAAACATGTCTTTATTATTACAGCTGAACTATTAAAGGCTCTCGCTACGAGATCGTTCAAATTGATCGACTTCGTAACCATTTTCTAATTGTGCGTTTTACAGTGTAACAGTAAATTTTAATATTGAAAGTCATGTAGAGATGATCCATGTATAGCCGTATCATCCCTATATTCTTGTTCGCATTTTTTTGGTACTGCCATCCCTACATCATTTTACATTTATAAAACGTTTTTTATTACTTGTTATTAAGAGATATGACAGCTCTCATGACGTCGACAGGTTTTGGTATTCTATCAAAAGTCGATGAAATTTACATGGAATTTACAGATCATTATTTTAAATTCAATATTTTGTATTTGTTCTTTAGTGTTTAAAATTACTCTCGCATTTTCCCCACTTTCTCAGCTGTTATATTTAAATTATAGGTTCACACGTAACAAAATAATTTTCAGACACTGTAATAAAAACTGCTAGAACTGGTCTCGTATAAAAATAAATGTTTTTGTTACGGAAGATACTATATATAGGGTTGTGAACAAAACTTTACTTACCTTTAAATCTTGAACCTCCGTATAGCATAGCTGTAAGATAGAAATTTTACAGATATAACTTTACTATGAAAATCTGTACGAGTTTGTTCTTTGTCATATTTGCATTGTTTATGAACAATATACTGTTACTATGGTCACATTCCATTTCAAATATGAACGGTAGTACGATGTTACTATGGTTATATTATCATTTGAAAATCCACCGAGATGATTTCATCATTGTTTTAAACGTGGAAAGAATAATAAAGTAATATCATCAAGATTAAAATCATCCACCGCTACTAAGTTGATTTCAGAATGGTTTAAGGAGAATACCTAATGGTATTGACAAACAATACTGTTATGTAAGGCTATTTGATCATTTATTAAATAATACCACCATTACTAAAATTATTTTAACCAAACTTAAGGAGATCACATAGCGGTATTAAGGTTATTCGATCATATAATAAATTAAGGTGACTTCAACATGGTTTTAGGGTTCATAAACGGTACCATTTCTAAAGTTATTCCATTTAAGGAATAAATAACTTCATCATTACTATGGCGATCATATCGCGGATTGATAATCTGTAATAATAAAAGGGCGTGTCTGAGTGTGACTGCCATACATCCAAGAGGAAAGAACCTCGAAACCTGAAATTCTACACTCATACTAAGTGGACTCTGAGGGTGTGCACCTGGGTGTTATTACTTATCCACGCGCGTGCGCATCTTTTTATGAGGGAAGCTAGCGAAAAACCATATAAAAAAGAATATGTGACCACCATAGCTCTAAAAGGAAAGAACCCAGAAACCAGAAATTTTGCACCCATACTAAGTGGACCCTGAAGGTGTGCATCTGGGTATTGTTATTTATCCACGTGTGTGCGCATCTTTTTAGGAGGCAAGCTAGCGAAAAACCATATAGAAAGTTCCATAAGCAAAGAACCTAGGAACTTGAAATTTTGCACCCATACTAAGTGGATCCTGAGGGTGTGCATATGGGTATTATTACTAATCTTATCAATGTGTGCACGCGCATGCGCGTCTTTTTATGTGGAAGCTAACGAAAAATCATATAGAAAAGAAGTGGTTCCTTATATAACAACTTCTAATATATAGTAAAAGCCAGTGATATTTGGTAACAGTGTGTTCCAACAATGGCTTTTATGTTATGTTGCTTAACAACAAAAGTATATAGGTTATACTTTTATGCTAAAATGGGTTCAGAATACAAACACTATCAACCTAATAACCGTAGCGAGGCTGGGTACGTTCGCTAGTAATAATAATAAAAGAAACTACGTGTCATTACTTCTTTCAATAACTGTTACCCCAGTGATCGATTCCATATGTGTGAGTCAACGGTTGTTACAGATATCAACAATAAGGCCAAGGAAGACTAATTAACCAATCTCGTCTCTTCATGGAAACTAGGGTTCCTTCATACACACAATAAAAAAAGAGGGGATTACCATAGTTCAGTGTAAATCAGATTATTTCTCATTATTATACAACATGCAGCTTCACATGATACTTACTATCTTCGTCAAAAGTACTGCTTTTATAATAGAAAGAAAATACTGACCTCGCTTAATGTATTGTCACCAAGTTGTACGTTCCACTGACAGGGAAGTCGATATATCAGATATGGATGCTGTTTAAGTACAGCGTTTATGATGTCCTGTAGAAATACGGATATTAATTACTTGTTTATGTTAACAAACTAAATGTAGTTTTATTATATATATAGTATAACAGGGAATGGTCAATCTAACTGAAATAATAATCATTGGCTCTCCATAACAAATGAATGATGATATTTTTAACTTCCGGAGTAAGAAACACTGAAATTAAGAAAAATAAGTTCTTATGGTATCAGGTTAAAACTCATTTCAAATTGTTGAATGTAAAGCTGTGTAAGAGAGTCCTTATCAGTGCTGATATAGCTTAAAATAAGGCCCAATTTCCCTAGTCAGCCAAAAGCACTATGTGATAGTGTAAGTCTGAAGTTTGAAGTGGACTGATCCTGTCTGTATGTGTGAAATTCTCTATACAGACATTGCAAATTTTAACCTAAAACATCAGTGACACTTTGTAATAAATTTCACTAATATCTGATCAGTGAGTTTCAGTACCTGCTCAAAGAAATATGTGGTTAACGTGAAGTACCTTATGATGAAATTATGACGATATGTGGCCAGCGTGAACCACTTTATGATAATATCCACTGCAGTACCTAGTCAGTGTGAATCATTTTATGATAATGTCTACTGCAGTGCCTAGTTAGCCTAAATCACTGAATGATAATGTCCACTGCAGTGCCTAGTCAGCGTACGATGATGTCTACTGCAATAATTAGTTAGTGTGAACCACTCTATGATGATAGACAATAAAGTATCTGGTCACTGTAAACTATTTTATGATGATGTTCATTATAGTACCTAGTCAGTATGGACAGCTGTAAGATGAGGTCCACTTCATAACCTGATCAGTGAAAAGCATTTTGTATGATAAACTTCATTGGAGTACTTGGTCAGCGTGAAGTGCTTTCTGATAAAGTCTATTGTAGTAACTGGTCATCATGAAGAACTTTATTATAAATGTCCATTGCAGTACATAGTCAGCATAAAGTATTTTATTATGAATTTCATTGCAGTACTTGGCTAACGTGAAGCAGTTCATAACCGTTCAATGGTTAGCGTAAAATACTTTGTAAACGTCGTTGTAGTAACTGTTCGTTTAGCGTGAAGCCGTTTATAATGAGCGTTATTTGCATTAACTTGTTAGTGTGAAGTACTATATGATGAAGTCCATTGTAGCACCTGTTAGCGTGAAATGCTTTATGATAAAGCTCATTGCAATACCTGGTCTGCTAGCGATGTAGCTAGCATACTGAGAAGTTCCTTCTCTGCTGTAAGTCGCCACATCTGCATCCAAGAAAATTCCCGCAACCTTTGCAGGTGAAGAAGTATCACTCCAGTATTGAAGCCACGTCCCTTATTAGAACGTATAATACACATGAATATTTCCAGGTTGCCGAGTGATTAACTGTTTATTTGTTTGTATTCAAGCACAAATCTACACAAGAGCTATCTGTGTTGTGCCCACCATGAATATCGAAACCCGGATTTTAGCGTTATAAGCCTTCAGACTTACCGCTGAGCCACTGGGAGGGAGCGGGGCAGAGTGATTTAAATAAGATATAATAATTATTATTGTTTGTTAATTTGTTATAAAATAGTTAAATCTTATTTTCTGTAAACAGTTATGCTACGCCATCAGTTTGATTCGTGTTTTTTCTTCTCTGGGCAAGTATTTGACCTGATGATGATTTAGATAAGGATCTATAATAGGGAATAGAATAAAATCATATATTTCTACAGTTACTGATTGAAAACTGCTATACTACAGTCTGAACAGTAATGGTATCCAACAGACGCTAATGAATGAATCATTATCTCATGCATATTTAAATAAGAACTATAATTAAAAGGTGCATTTTAATCTCGATAGAAACAGAAGAAAATGAAAGAAGAAACAAAGTGTATATATACGCGCGCGTGTGTGTGTGTGTGCGTGCGGAACTACTAAAGAGATTGAGTATGTTATGTTCCAAGGTTTTGGAGTCTCACCATGTCATTATAGCCCGTGGAGTTCTCTATCTGACGACCGCGAATCTTGACAATAGATAGTCCTGCAGTGTAGTTTCCATTCGAAAAGGCTCCGTCGTAAGGCTGTAATGTTCAAAGTACACACGCCCTCTTTCATACTGTCCATAATCCGCGTTTTGTTCTGAGGGGGACATAGATGGCTTTTCCCACTGAAATTAGTGTTCTTGGATTAGCACCTGCAACAAGATGCCGCACTTTGCGTATCATGGCTGAGGTTGACTTCTTACAGGTCTCTTTCTGAATTCTTCTGGAACACCAAGTTGATCCACATTCATTTGTTTTCCAATGCCATTAAGAGCAAGGGATATATAGGTTTTAGAAATTATAAACCCCAATCTGAACATATCTTTATGATTTGAGCATATGGATATTTTGCGTCGGAAAAGGTTGATACATGCCCTTCGCAAAAGCGATCAATTTTCGGTGGTATCACACTACATACGAAACGCCAAACAACGTTAACATGTACTTCCGGTACATTGTCACGTGACTTGCTTGGTTTCTTCTTGAAACTCGTTTCAGTATACGTTACCCAACACATCTGTAAATTAACTCTTTAGTCATAAGATGACTCCACAGAGCACTTTATTAACTCTACACTTCTAACCTTACTCAGTACAATAGTCTACCCTGGTTTGTCCTAACCTTGCTTTCCCCCAGTATTATACTGACTTGTTAATCTTGACCTTTATTCATACAGAACTATATTAACTCCTAACTTGATTACATTATTCAACACAGCCCAATATATTCCACGCAGCTCTATACTACATTGTTAGTCTTATCTTTACTCAACAGAGCACTGTGTTAAGTTCGTATTTCTAATTTTTCTCCACACAGTACTACGTTAACTAGTTAGTCTAATCCTTATTTTACAGCACAATATTAGGTCATTATTCTTAATCTTACTTGAAATAGTTTTATATTAATATTTTAATCCTAATCGTGCAGCATACATTAGTTTGTTAGTCCTAATCCTAGTCCACACACAGCATTACCTTAATTTGTTAGTCATAATTATCACTCCTCAAAATGCTAGTCTGTGTGGAGGTAAGATTAGGATTAATAGACCAGTATAGTGCTGTATATTTTCAGTATATTATTCCGTTAGTCCTAAGCTTACTCCACACAGCAACCACATTAAAATATTATAACTGTTTTAATTTCTTAGAACACTGTTATTACTTTTACTTTATATCTTACTTCACATAAAACTGTATTAACTTGATAATCTTAAACTTACTCCACTCGACCATAAGATATCTTGATAGGTCTAAGCTCCACGAAGTACAATATTAACTCACTAATCCTAATCCCATTTCACACACCATCATGGCTATGAAACATTACTATTGTTTTCTTCAAATACCAAATTTAATAATATAACCAACTAGAAAAAGTCCATAATTCTAGGGAAGTGATAAATGTGATTTTTAGATTGTTTGACAGTACATAAAATACTTTTCTTTTCTCGATGTCTGAACGGTCGTTTGAAAGTAACTTAATGATCACCTCATGGGCAGAGTTTTACAATTTAATGCCAGAGCCATTTATTCTATTGTATCCACTCTTACGTTGTAACATACTTTAGAATTAATTAAACTTAATACTTACTAATGCCGGCCAAGGTCTGTGGTTTTTCCACAGCTTTCCTAAATACCAGTCGCTTTGGTTTTCTACTAAACCTATAGCCTGTCGGAAAGAAAGACATCTTGTAAAAGTTAAGCCAAACTCATTTTGTTATTCCTTTTATAGAACAAAATCAGCAGTTTAAAATCACAACAGGAAAAAAGACTTTGTACAAATTTTGCAAATATGTTATGTATTAAATATTGGAAAGAAGAAAACTTATCTTTTCCTTCTTACCCGTATTCACTATCCTTCAAGAATTAGATTTATAAAGTTCAATTGAAATCTAGGAATTTCTGAACTTACTTGTTTTGAAGTAAATTTTCTAAAAATTCCCCATAATTCAGCAATGTCAGTTGCAAATGTAACGTCGGTATCTAATACAATAACCTGGGAATAAAAGTAAAAAAAAAACGATGTTTTTTAATCTTATAATCCAACGTCGGTATCTAATACAATAACCTGGAATAAAAGTAAAAAAAACGATGTTTTTTAATCTTATAATCCAATGTCGATATCTAATACAATAATCTGGGATAAAAGTAAAAAAGAAAACGATGTTTTTTGAATTTTATAATTCATACAAAAGACTAACATTCAAGAGGATAAACAGTAAGCAAATAAATCTTCATGTAATTATGAGTAGACCTGTTTTCAGATATTGCTTACGTGCACATAATTCTCATAATCATAAAAGATAGCAAAAAAAAAGCACTTGGCATGAAGTTATAAAGGAGTATGTATATTTTATTTATGGTAAACAGTCGAATCTATGAAACATGAGATATCTGAAACATTTTCAAGTATTGATGGCTCTTCTCTTTCTCTCTCTCTCTCTATATATATATATAAGAAAGCTCGAATCCTTTCTCTTTTTACCGACTTTGTTTTTTTTATTTATCAAATTCTTTTTTATTTTACGGATTTTGCAGGTCACTGCCTACTCTTCAGCATAAAAACTTTAAGAAACCAGGAAACATCTGAACACGTTTTTGAAAAGCAATAAAGCTATGTTTACAATTGGCATAAAACATGCTATTTTTTTAATATTTCAATATTCAGAAGTAGAAATCGAGGTAGAACACAAACATCTAAGTTAGGTATTGTAAATCAAAAAAGTATTGATTCTGGAGGGCACAAACTTTTAATATTCCCGGTTCAACACCCCAAGGTTTTAAATATAAGTAAAGGAGATTTAGAGAAGAATGAAGTTAAACTTTTAAAACGAGATATTAACTTTACACTAAATACCTAATGATATTCAAATCAAAGAAGATCTACATGAATTGACTAGAAAGTTAATATTCAAATATTTTTGAAATAATGTAAAGAAGAGGATGAAGCTCTTATTAAGATAAAATCAATATTTGAACCACCGACGGGAATCAAATCGGAATTAGATTTGATTTGTAAGAAAATTAAAATATCTTGTGTTTCTTATAAGGAGGTGAAAGGGAGAATGAAAAGCTTTGAATAAATTGAGAAGAGATGATAGAATTATTCAAAAAAGAGATAACAATAGTATTTTGGTTGAAATGAAAACCAGTTATTATAGGAATATGGCGTTAGAACACTTTAATAATAGTAATCATTGCGAGAAACTGTCTAATAATGATGATAAATTTTATATAACGAACATAAAAACAAAATTAATAGAATATGTATCGAGTTTTGGAAGTTCATTTAATGAGCAAGAAACTAAATTTATTTTAAATCAAAACAAATTTGGAAAAATTTTACGTGGTACCAAAATTGAATAATGTAAAATAGTAAAAGAATACTTAGAGAGAGAAAGATCGGAATATCTTTCGTTACCAAACCTTTTAGATATGCTAAGTTTCCCTAGTTGTAGGAGGCAAAAATAGAATTACTGAATAGTTGAGTAATTTATTGGATATTGTTTTAAAACCTTTTATTTCTAATGTGAAATGTTACACGAAAGGCAATAAAACGTTTGCAAACCACTTCCCTCAAAAAAGTTAGACCCAAATCATCTTTTAGCATCATTTGATGTTGTTGCTTTATAACCAAGTATTTCACAAGATTTTGAATTAAAAGTAATTGAATTTTATTTTTATAATTATATGGATTGTATTCATAACAAGTTTGATGAGAATATTTTAAAGAATCCAAATTTAGTTTTATTTCATTGTTTTCCTTTTGTTTGTTTGAAGAGGAAATATTTCAACAAATCTCGGAAACTCTTATGAGCACTAAAGTTGCATCCACCTATGCAACGCTAATAAGGGGTTTTCTGGAGATTAAAATGTTTGATCTTCTTCCAAACTATTTTGAGATTAACTTGATAAATAATTATTTAACGTTAACATGAAGAAGATTTTTGGATGATTGTTTTATCACTTGGAACAAAAGTTGTGATATTTAATATTTTCCAGATTTTAAATAGATTAAATTAAATAGATAAATTTATTTATGAGTATGATGAAAATATTATATCTTTCTTAGATGTTTTTTTAGAGGTTAAATATTATGAAGTTATGACTGATGTTCCTTATTAATCAACAAATTCACACAAGTACTTAAATTTTTTTAACAATAACCCAAAATCAATAAAGTTAAATATTCCTGTTACTCTGTAAACAAAGGCTATATACATTGATAATTAATAATGAGGTAAGAAACTTACAAATTAAAATAATTGAACAGTTTTTAATCAAATGTCAGTATCAAGAGAAGATTATTCATAGAGATTTTAATTTGTTTGTTTTGAATTTATGCACAAAGCTACACAATGGGCTATCAGGGCTCTGCCCACCACAGAGATCGAAACCCGGTTTCTAACGTTGTAAGTCCGC